TGTTGTGCCTCGTGGCCGGCGCTGGGCTCGCCGCCCGCCCTTATTCCCCTGTCCTGGCCTGGGCTGGGGCGCCGGGCAGACGCCGCGAGTGAGTTTCCTGCGCTCGGCCCAACGCTGCTCTGCTGCCGTTCCCGAAGGCAGGGCTGAGTGTCCGTGATCAAGGGCCACGTCGAAAGTGGGCGCCGACAGCAGCCGCGGTGCCGGGACGGGGCCGTGGGTTCGGCGGACATGCGGCTTCAGGGCCTATGCACAAAGTCTAAGAGGTAGATGCTTGCTGTAACACTAAGTCTGTCAGCAAAGAGGCCTTCAGGAACTTCTAAGTTACTCCGAACTGAATTACTCTGGACTAGATATTGCTGAAGCCAACTCACCCGTGCTCCCTTTCTTGGCCTGCATCCCCACCTCTTTTTTGATCTTAGTGGTATTCTGACCCCATAACTGGTCAATCCAGAGAACCAGCTGAAAATGCACGTGTTGTCTCTCTGTAGGGTTAGGGGTTTTGCTCATTTAACTCCCTGAACCGGTTGCTGTGGGGGAAGACAAACTGCAGTTCTGCACAGAGCTGCAGCGTATGCCAAGGGATGGAACCATGTCTGTTTTGTTTTGTTTTTGTTTGTTTCTTTATTTGATGGTAGCTCCCCTGCTGTTTTCGCACTACAACCATGCTGATCTGTGGGGTGCAGGTTTGTGAGGAAACGTAATAATGAAAAATTTCTTTGTAAAATATTGAGTTTTATTTATTGATTACTTCTGTTTTCTAGAACAAGTGGAAGCCATGGATGATGACTATATGGATTCTTTCACGCCCCTATTCCTCACTGACAGCTTGGAGATGGCAATGGAAGTGGAGAAAGAGCACTCCAAGCTGTCCTGCTTTTCCTGTGTTTTTGACAACCAAAATGGAGGGAGAAGCTTCTCTTCAGAGTCTTATTTAGCTAGTGGGTCTCTTAAGAGGTACGTTTGTGTTGAGCTACATCTGTAATGATCTTTCCACAAGTTTTGAGTGTTTCAGAATGCTGACAGGGTCTCCAAATCAGTTTTTCCTTGAGTTCTTACAGGCCTGGGTCCGGGTCCTAGCTTTGTGAACTTCATCTTTGGTGGTGTAAATGATGTGTTGCAGTCTTAGTAGAACTCTTCTAGACAAAACTCCAGAAAAATTCCACTGTTGGATAATAGCATCTAAGACTTGCTGCAGACTATACCACTAATATTTGATAAAAAAGCAATGATACAAGACTGTAGGCATTGAATCATTAGCACTGTTCATAAATTCTTTGTTAATAAGCCTGATTTTATTTTATTTTAGAGTTTTGCTGACACTAGATCCTTCTCCAAATGACTATGAGGAAGATACAGTGGAAATGTTTGGCTTTCAGTGGGTTACTGAAACGGCATTAGTTGAATCCTGTGGGCTTCTCTTTGGATTACTTAGGTAAGATGTCATTAATGTATTCTGTGATTAATACACTTCAGCGGTTGCACACCTTTACATAAAGAACTTAACAAACATCTAAAAGTTCCAGATAATAAGAAAGACTGTGGGTCATGTATCTAAAAAACTGTTATCTGTGTAATCCTCTGATAAGTGGTGGGAAACACACAAATGACATTATTGGAGGAAATAATTTATGTATTGTAGAGGTGTAATATTATGTGGCTTACTAATATATTTTGAAGCAGGGCAGTGCATAGCTTAGCTACAGACAGCTACAGCATGTTTATAAATATACTTGCTAAACAATTTTGTGATTAATTTAGAAAGCAGAGTAATATTATTTGTGTGGCTTCAGAGTATATGAATAAACTTTGTCAGATTTCCTTAAATGATTTTATACTATTTTTAGCGTTGTGTCCCCTCCCGACCTTTTTTGTGTGTGTGAGTAAAGAAAAGTAGAAGTTAAAAATCAAATACTGTAAACATTAGATGCAATATTTTCTTTGATTGTTTGAATTAGGATAGCTTCAGCAATCTCCTCAGATACAGTTGCTCAGTGTTTGGCTAATTCAATGCAGATGTTTAATCTGGTCAGTGCAAATATACAGATCACTGATAATCCGCTTTGCTACTGATAATCCTCAGGATGCACAGCACTTAAGAGGGTTGTTGGAAAAGGGGCTTTTGTGCAATACGTGGATATGTGAAATATTCCATAGTTCCTTTGACTGTAGTGGATTCTTCCACTACTTTATGGTGTGACCAAGGGCATGGTGTGAATGTCATCAGTTGGGTTTGCCTATTGGAATATGAGGGCATAAATGAAAGGAAGTGCTTTGGAAACTGCTGTTATTTGGTTTGGCTTGTTAAAGCAAATTTTTACTTCGTTGTTTGTTGTATTTCTCTACTTGATAGATAGGAAGATATTCAATTAATAAAAAGCACTGTATGCATTTCAGCATCCTCTGTGATCAGTTTATTAGCAAAGAATAAACTGATTGGGTAATCAGGCAGCAGTGTAATTCATCTTTGGAATATTTTTTTTTCTTTTTACAAAGAAACCCATCCTGTAGTCCTCTTCTAATTTTAGTGGAGACAAATATAGGACATTATATATATGTGTGTGTATATATATATATATATATACACACATATATATATATATGTAGAGAGAGAGAGTTATTCAAGCTGTACATGTTGCAATCGCTTTTAGTAATAAAACCATTCAAGTGGCAGAAATTATGGACATGAGCTGACTCTTGGCTGTGAGAGTTTGGTTGCTAAGCTGTTTTTTGGTGTGGCAGGTCCCTCTGCAAAGATATTCTTTCTTTCAGTTCATTTGTTTAATCATAAAATGGAGCACTTCATTTATAGAGCAGTTGGTAACTGAAAGTAGAAAAGCTTATTTCTACAGTGTAGAAATCATGTGCGAAAGTACAAGTTCTGCTGCTGTTTTGGGGTCAGGGTGGTCCTCCTGGCCCTGTTCTGACACACTCTAACTTTCAGCCTCAACAGTCCCCTTAGATAAAGTCAACCATTTTTAAGACTTCCTTGCATTCTACACAGCTGAAAAAGTTGAAAAAATCATTCAGAAATCCAGCATTTGTAAAAGCTAAGTAGCTGAAAGTAGTCCTAGGTAGATTTTTATCAAAGCTAGGAAAAGCTAAGGGATATAGTTTTAAAGTGTGTTTACTCTAGTTTTTGTTTTCTTTCTTGTTTTACTCCTTCCCCACTCTCTTCCTCTCTTCTGGATTGGGCATCCTATTTTGAATTGTGCAGTAGCGAGTGCTTAGACTGTATGGACCATAGCAGATAGAAAGCTCCTTCCTCAATTTATGTAGTATTTTATAAATTGAGCTTAGCAAGTTTGGTAGGCTTTTCTTTCAAATCCTTGTGCAGTTGAGCTTTTTATGTGTTCAGTCTAGTGTCCTGTTATCTCTGTGGAGAATATACTTGATGACTACTTGAAAATTAGTTGCTGTAGAATATGGCAGAATAAATCTGTTATTTGCAGTGCCTGTTAGCAGCAAATTCTATAAAGATGGTGTCTCTTCCGCTCCAAAATGGAGTTTTACCTTTTGCAAAGATGCTTTCTTCTTTGACTGTTGTTATTAACTGTGTGTGCTCAAGTTAAGCAGTAGAACATATTAAGCAGAAAAAGTAGAAAGCAGCTGGCAAAATTTCCCAGTACTCTTTCAGAAGTGAATGAGCTCAGTGTGTGCTATGAGGGCTATCATTCCAGTTTGTTTGGGAGTCAAATGTGAGGGAGATTGAGTTATATTTGTGGGAGCAAATCTGCAAAAGAGGCGCTCAGTAAGGAATTTTGAGTGTTGGATTTTTGTTTGTCTGATTGTGTTTTTCTTTTTTTTTCCTCACTTGGGTATTTAGCTAATTTTATCGTTGTTTATGTTCTGGAAACAAACAAAATGCTGACTAGTATTATTGTTTCACACGGAATGTATGTAGTCTTCAAATTCTTTTACTCAAGTTATATTTTTGTAAGCTTTCTCAGAGCAGATGTGTTCCTTGCTTTGCATTTCTTTTTATTAAATACCTTGCATTTGTATAAAAGCCATAAACCTTTATTTCTTTCTAATTAGGCAACAGATACACAGTTTGGAAAACCTAGTACAGATGAGTTCGTCTGATTTCAGTAAGTTTAACACATATCACTTTACATGGGTAGACATCTGACCACATTTTCATTATATGTATTATATAATCCTTATAAACCTGCAGTAGGTGTAATAACATATGCAACAAATTGATGCAAGTTGAATGTGAAAATAGATATGTGACCATGCCAGCTGAAAGCGTTATGAGCCAGTTTGGAATTGGATCTTCCTGTGTAGCAAAGTCATAGGTCAAAATTCTGGTTTTATTCCTTCGGTAAGGAATGCTGTGTTAACTTGATAAGAACTAAGATAATACGTCTCTGACAAGGCAGGACTTGGCAAATCTATTTACTCATTTAATTAAAAATGGAACTTGCATTAAAACTCCCAATAGCTATTCTAGTTATAAAGGTAATTGATTAGATTCTTTCTTACCACTATAGCACTTTTTTGGCTTACATTTAAACAAGTTAGTTATGTTTGCCTAGGTTAGAAGTTATTTACAGTTATTTATCATTGCAATAGGATCAATGAAATAGGAGCCGTACAAAACAGTTTGTTTGAATTAAATACTAGTGCGTGAGAAGCAGTTTGTTTCTGAAAGATTATTGCAGCCTTGGGCTTATTGTGAGTTTGAAGGCTGTGTTACTCAGCAAGTGGATAAATTCAGTAATTTATCCAAGATGCACCCTGTCTGTAGTATCTTCTTGTTACAAATAAACTGGTCGTATTATAAGAGCACAAGTGGATATTCTCATACCCTTTTGTTATTAATTTGGCTTAAAATTGTCATACTATGCCGTTTCTATTGCTGTTTTGAAGAACTAGTAAGATTCTCTCATATGCTTTTGTTGATTGTATCTTAAAAGTATGGCTTTAGTTGAGATTTAATACTTAAATGGAATAACTATTTTAAATTATACTTAAGCATTCATAGCATATCTGGATATCAGTAACTGTTCTGTAATTTGTTCTTCCTTAAATTTAAACATCTGCCTGGTTCTTTGCTTTGTTCCTTCATTTATCAAATAAGTTTATTAAATAGTTTATTAACTAAAATCAGTGTAAAGGTTATATGGAAAAATGTCAAAAAATATGAACTCTTCTCCATGCCCAATTCTGTAACACAGGATGCATAATACTCATATCCGGTCTAATTGTATAGCACGAGTTTGGATTCTGTGCTGTTACTGATAATATTGTGGTTGTCTCAGCTAGGTCATATATGATGTTAGTTGTGAAATAAACTTTGCATACAACTTTAACCATACCTGAGTTTTAGCAACTTTATTTTACTATAAAAATAATTACTTTAAAGTAGGCTGTTGTATAAAATGCCCTTAATAATGTAATATAATGAGCATGATGATTTTTCTGGTGAAGCAGTGCTTTAACTCTGTAACGTCAAGCAGGGATTAATACTGGAAGGTGCATGTAAAACAGGCACAAAACCGATACAAATGTTTGCAAAACTCAGATAAACCGAGGGAAATGGGTTGTATAAACGTTCTCCTGCACCAAACTGTGAGAAATGCAGGCTGAATAAAAACTATCTATCCTGCTTAAATACCATCGGACCTGATTAGAGTCCTCTTCAGAAAGCATTTCTGCATTTCAAGGCCATGTCCAGGACCTATGAGATGTGAATTTTATGCTTTATACCAGGCCACTTTTATCACTTAGAGCAAATCACTGATGTATCTGTGCCTCAATTGTCTATTTATTCAAGCAGGGTAGTAGTAAGAGTGTAGTGTGAGGATACAAATATTTAAAATGAACAGACAGTGTGATGGTAAGTATTATTGGTATCTCAGATAAATGGGCTATTGTCAGAGTTGAAAATCAAGTTTGTTTTTTAGCTCAATGTATATTTGTTGTGCATATTCCTTTGTGTATGTTGATATAGATATCAATATTATACATTTTGTTTGGTATCAGTCTTATGGAACTTTGGAGGTTTTGATTTCCTCGAATGGAAAGTAAAAGTGACCAGCTAAGGTGAAGGAAAAAGGAGGGATGTAAAGGGTGATTCTCACAGCAGTGGCAATTGCTTACCATGAAGCTTGCCTTAGCAAAGGTATTCGGGCTTGCAGGTACAAGGTGATAAGGGTAACACCATGAAAACAACAGCAGGAAGCAACAAGGGACAGGAAAAATACCACCATAGAGGCAGAGACAGTCACAATAGCTAGATGAAAAGATGCACCCTGCAAGCAAAAAGCAGGCTACTGCACTACAAATAAAAGGCTCTTAGCATTACCCAGCTTAAGGTAGCTAAGGCACTGTGCAACTGCGCTGTACCACAATGCAGTGCTTCCCAGGAAGATGTGACAAAGCAAGGTTCCAGATCAGTCCATCTGCTTAAGAAATTCCCCAAGAGAAAAGGATGCCGAGAAATTGCTTCATACTGCTGTCTTTTCTCAAGGCTTCTGGGAAGCAGACAGGGAGCAGAGCAGTAGGGCTGAATAGTTTGTTCTGGTAATGATTGCTTGCCTCTACCCTCTTTCTGGAGGGTTTGGATACCTTCTCTTCCCTCTGTATCTGGATATGCACCTTTGATGATAAGATTAAAGAATTACAGTTCCCTCTGGCAAGATGGCTTTTGGAAGTGGTTTGTTGCCCCTAGAAAATTCACCTAACCTGAAGCTTCCCCCTGCCCCAAACCTGGATTCAGGAAAAAAGATGGCTTCATGTGATTCATGAATCACAGTTTGGACAAGTCAGCTTTAAGCTATTGATCTTTTCTTTTACTTCAGGTCAAGCTGCAAACATGCACTCAGAAGCAGACAGCATCAGGCATCAGTGTATTGAGTTTTTGCATTATGTGAAAGTTTTCGTCTTCAGGTGAGAGTTGCATGCAGTTTACTTATTTTATGTATTGAGCTCTGTCTAGCTGTTTTTCACATGTTCTCTGATTGTGTGTGTCTGTTCAGGTATCTGGAACCTCCTAAAGCAGAACATGACGGAATGCTCCACCCGTATGAAGAACTAGAAGCCCAACTACCATCTTTGTTGGTGGAAGAACTTCATTCTTTGACCCTACAAATTGGTCACCTTTATGAACTTCCTAGTAGTATTCTGGCGGCATTTACCATTCAACATCAGGCAAAGGTTGACGACTGTTGTAATTTTAAATTTATTTGTATGTGTTTGACTTGGAAAAAGTGAAATTGAATAAGAATTAATGTTTCTTCAGAAAAGAAAATGATTTTATGCTTTTTAATTTTCCCCTTTTTAAACTTAAGTGCCATTTCCTTCTTCAGAAACAGCTAAAGAGCTCTTGATTTACTCTTTCATTGTTTGTTATACTTTCTTTCTTTTTAAAATTTCTCCTATAATATACAGATGATAGCAATTACAGGTAAATAGGTAGTCTTGAGTTAGTATAACATGTTACAAATTTCTCAGTGATTGTCCATGATAATGGTTAGAATTTCTGACCTCCTCAATAGAAGGGGCACTTTATATTCTGAAATGTGTTTCTAAGTAGGAAAAAAATCATTGAAAGAAAAGTGCAAACATGGAAGAAGGTACTGTAACATATGACACTGTAAAGTATATACACCACTAAGGTCTGGACAACTAATGCTTTCAAATCTCTAACTTCAAATCTCTTGATTTGAGGAAATAAAAAAAAAAAGGAATTTCAGTCTTTGATTGTATGAACTAATATCTGGAGAGGAATGATTCACTGAGGAACAGCATTTTGAATCTTTCTGTTCATTTGTCTTGTC